ATATATATATATATATATATATATATATATATATATATATGATAAAAATAAACCATTACTTACTACTTGTACTATTATTCCTACTTCATGGTTTTTCACTTATCGTGGGGCTTCAGGATACAGATTACAGATCCCCCGCGATAAACTTGAGCCTACTGTATATGAAAATAAAACCCCGCAGTGGAAACAATGGTTTAACCCACGTGTTAGTGACCACAAGCAGCGGTGTTTCCCCTAGTTTACTTGCCTTGGTAGGGCGCTCATATCTTCCGTGATTTTTGTCAACAGGGTGTGTGTGTGGGGGGGTGGTGGTGGAGATGATCAGGACGTCAGTGCTGGTAGTTGTCGACAGGGTGGGGATGGGGTATCAGTAGCAGGACGCAGGGCACCCTGCTTGTATGATGGTAGGGGAATATAGAATGAAATTATTCACATACAAGATTTGTATGTGTACAGTAAAATCCACAAGCAGTGTTTCCCCTACCATTATATCAGCAGGGCGCCCTGAACCGAGCGTCTTGACTACCGAACTGACCCCCCCCCCCCCAACAACTTTCATTTATTCAGCCTTTATTTAGACAGGTTAATCCCATGAGCCTCGAGGACTCATTTACAAGAGACCTGATTTCAACAAAGAATGATGACAACAGTGGATAACAACGACAACAATAGACAATCATAAAACAGGCATACAATTTTAAATTTCCCGGGTTTTTTTTACAAATCAAAAACAAAATAGCAGCCACAAGGACAATCAAGAGGAATAGTAACAACAACAAAAAAATGACTAGATTATAAGGCATTTTAGAAAACTAAAAACAGAAACATGTCTGCATTGGTTCTTCCCAGGAACTTAAGAGTTTTAGTCACTAAGAGGTCGAGAGCTTCAGATCTTTTTGCAAGATATTCCAGGATATTACAACAATTGCTGCACTGACGTAGCACAAAGCTAACGGCATGCAATACAGATGCACTAGCTAGCTCAGGACTTTAGTTGTCCAGAGGTGCAGCTGGTCCACATTGGTGCTCAGGTGTTTAAATCAGTTTGAATGCGGTCGTGTTTTTACGTCTCATCTTCAAACACATTGTACTCACTGGGTTTTACTACACTGTGAGACTTCTTGTTTTTTTTTTTTTATATTCTCCTGTGTTTAGATTAGATTAGATTAAATTTAGATTAGATTTTGTTGTTCAAAGACTTTTATTCTGGGATCTGGTTTCCAAAAATACCATTTAGGGACTCCTAAAATGGTGACCCCATGTGGATTTTTTGTCCTTGTTCTAGTCGTAGACTTCTGGCATCATCTGAACAGGTCTATTAGGATGTCTCATGTTTAGTCATTGGGGGGGGGGGGGGGTGTTGTTATCATGTTTTGGCTGTAGTGGCTCCAAAGCAAAGTGGTCCATCAAATGAGCTCCTCTTTTTAAAACCCAGCAACAGACACAGTTAATTACTTTCATTTGTATTGATCTTTAATGGTATTAGCACTTTAAATTATGGAATTTTAGGAATTTGGAACCTTGTTTTTTTGTTTGTTTTTACATCTGTTTCTGTTTTGAACTGATTTATGATTTTAATGTTTATATTTAAGGTAGTTTTGGGGGGTCATAGTATAGCACTTTGATCAACTCTTGTTGTTCTACATGTGCTTTTATAAATAAAGTTAAAGATGCTCTTGTATTGAATTCAAGAGGTATCTGCAATGGTTTTTGTTGACACTTTTTTTTTTACTCTTTGCCTCTGAAAACTTATTAAAATTCAAGTTTGTGTTGAAAAAATAAATAAAAATCAACGTTTAAAAAAAAAAAAGTACATGTACATTTTCTCATATGAAAACATGTGGTGCACTTTGTGTGTCCTAAAGTCCCCAGGTGGTTTCAGAAGTGCTGCAGGTCAGAACAACAATAACGGTTTATAACACACACAGGAAAGTGCTTCATAATGGCTGCTGAGCTTTTCCCAAAGGAGGGCCGTTATGTACTAATGCATCGAGGACGACCCCTGAACACACACTCATCTGTCTCCTTCACTCACACATGAGAGTTAGTGCTGTTTGTGTAGCTGAAAATCAATCCACGCTGACCAGACTCCGATTCGCCTTTCTTTCTCTGGCTCTTTCTCTCTCGTTATTATCCACCTCTCTTCTCTCCGTTTCCATGTTTCTTCCCATTTTATACATTTTTTTTTAAAATCTCATTTTGTAAGGCATTCGGGGCACATACTTGGCAGATGAGATGACGTCACTGTGCTTGTCCGAGTCCAGGATCTTGGCAAGGTGACAGGCTACAGAGTCTGCATACTGAGTGATGTGGACCTGAGACAGAAAAACATGGAGCTGGATCGATGATTTATTTCACATTTGAACTACTGGGTTGTAAAAAAGCATCACACAAAACAGAAAGGCTGAAGGAGCTGAACTCTGCTTCGTTTTGTTCTGTTAAATTGAGCCGTCACCCGTACAGCGTACCTCTGATGTGTTCACTGCACATTCGTTTTGATTCAGCAGGATCTGAATCTGTCCACAACTGTGAATGCTCTGGTAGAATAAAAAAAAGTGTAAATAAGTTGAATCTGTCCAGAAGGAAATAGACACTGAGCTCCCTGCTGAAGTGTGATTTTTCTCGTCTGGCGACCCAAAGTTATGTTGCCACTGGGACAAAGAAACACTTCACCAATTATGTGAGCAAAAAAAATAAAAGGAGTTTTCTTTATAACAAAAGGTTTCTACAATTTCATACTGATTTAAAGTAAAGTGCTGTTTTCTTAGAGATGCAGGTAAGACGGAAGGAAACGAACATTAATTTTGTGAAGCAGAGGAATAAAAAATGCTGATACAATATTTTTGGGAAATAGATTAAATATGAATTCTATTAAATATTTGAGAGAATAAAAAAAATGATAGCACCATAAAATGTGTTTTGTTTTGTTTTTTAATGAAAAAGCTATAGGCATCTTCTAATCAGATTCAAATGTTTACTACTAAAATGTACAAAAAAAGTTTAAATATTTGGTCTAAAGTTCTGTTCAGCATCTGTTGTAGACCGGTGCAGAGAGTGAAAAATAATCTCATTTACACATAAACTACATTAAACAAGTTCTCAGGCAAGACTGCTTTAATGTACAGTAACATGAGACGCTAAACTTAAAATGTTATTTTGTTCTTTAAGTTATTACATGTGTTGATAAAAAATAAATAAGAAACTGTGTAATTAAACAAATGTTCAAAATGGGCATTTCACAAGGTTCACTTTTAGGACAAATGTTTTTATTTTTTTTAAACAAACCCTATATTAATGATTTTACTGAAAGTTAGAAAGATGTCCAGTGCGCCTCTGTATGCAGATGATGTTCTCATGTAGACGTAACTTTAAAAACTACACAACAATCTGCAGAATTACTGAAGTGGCAAAGGAACACTGTGTAACCCAGAACAACAAAAAACTGTCTTTGTGTTCTATAATCAGAAAAAAAAAGATTTAACAATTTATAAGGATCCATTTATATTCCAGTAACCATTTATAAGGATTATAAGGAAATTCAAAAAGTAATATCTGGGTTGTTCATTTGGATTTCTCTCCTAACTTTGAAGCTCATATTAAAAAAGTCCCCAGTACCATTAAAACTTATTATTAGGGCATAAAAGTTCATGCTCAATAATCCAGGTAAAAAAAATCCAACAAAGTTCAGTCAGGTCATATGGATGTTTATTTTTTTTTTTTTGTTGAGAGATTTCGTCCTTCATCTAAAGGTCTTCAGTACAAGCAGCACACACCCATAGTGGACCAACCAGTTTGCTGGTGACGAGATGGTTTCTGGGGCCCGCCTTCTCGCCAGTAGACTCCTCTGAGACAGCAATAGCCAAAGTTGTTCAAACCATCAAAGTTTTGAACTTTGGATTTTTTTACCTGGAATATTGAGCATGAACTTTGGGGTTTGAACCACTTTGGCTATGGCTGTCTCAGAGGAGTCGATGGGGGAGAGGGCAGGCCCCAGAAACCATCTAATCACCAGCAAACTGGTTGGTCCACTATGGGTGTGTGCTGCTTGTGGGACTGAGTTTGTTTGTGGCTCCTCGAACTGATGAAGTCCTTTGGACGAAAGACGAAATGTTAAAAAAAAAAAAAAAAAAAAAGAAACCGTCCAGATGACTTTTCTGAACATTGTTGGATTATTATTAGGGCTTTCGTGTCATAAGATTATGTTTACCAGTAAAAGTTAATCGGTTGTATCTGTAGACTATGACTGTCACACCTTTTATTTTAGTATTGGGGCGAAGCAGCTCCATCAGTTTAAAACTGGTGACTTTGTCATGCAAAATATATATAAAAAAAAAAAAAACATTGATCAAAAACTAATAAAGTGGCACTGCTATAAATTACAGTGAGTATACTTTCAGCTTTGGTAGATTTGTACCTTAAAAAACCCCTCTAAATATATTAGAATAAATGATCAAATCCATTTTACAAAAAAATACAAAGAAATAAACTTGGAATCTGAAGCTTAACGTCCATACAGCCTTAAACATTTTTAGCATTCATCTTCACATTTGTCAGTTTTGAGTTTCAGTCCACACATGCTGAGCTGCTCTAAATCAATATTTGCTTTACTCCCTGTGGTTCAGGTCTGATTGCTTTGGCTTCCACCTGCCAGGATCAATCCGCTCTTAGAACAGTGTCTGAGATTTTAGGCTCTGTTTTTTATGGAAACTATCCTTCACAAAGCAGATAACCTCCAGGCTAATTTACCTGGAGAGGAAAATCGTGGCTGTCGTCTTCCTTCACGATGGGCGTGCTTTTATTGCTGGTGGGCACCTCGTATGTCATGATGCTCCACCTGAAAATGGACAGATCACCATCAGACGCCAAAGAGATCACTTGATCAGCATCTAATCAGTTCAGGACTTGAGACAGAATTACACAGCTGATTGAAATGCAACCAATACTCAATATTAATTTAGGCTAAAGATTTACTGACAATTGATTAAATGCAGCAAATGAAAATGTTCATTTTGTTTAATTATTAGTTTTAAACAAACACTGCTGACAGTGAACATTTAAAATACTATAGATAGCTGTGGGAAAGACCAATATTTTGGTTTTGGTTCTGTACAATTTGTCATAGTTCAACCAATCCACTACTTTCAAATGATTCATTGAAATGAAGCTGATAAGGTTTTAGATCATTGGAGAACTGAAGCTAAACTTGTTCCACATTTAAACAACAGATACCCTCAATGCAACCCCATCCTTAAGATAGTATTTCACTGAGCTGCAACTGTTGGGGTCTCATTGCAGACACAAAAACAAGAAAAACTATACAGATTTGCACTTGGAATCACACTGAATGAAATTTTTGAACGAACTCTTAACTAAATTTGGCTAAAACATGCTGGGTGTTAGCATACATAGAAAATAAAATGCAGGTCTAGTGCTCTAGAATTACAGAAACTACGACTAAGTTCACACTGCAGGACCTAATGCTCATTTCTAATTTTTTGTGTGGCCGTTCACATTAAAATGTTAATGCCATTGTCATCAGACTCCAGAGTGAACTCTAAGTCACTGATGTGACATGTAAAGAGGACGTGACACACACAGCTCTGTGTTTACAGAAGTAAATGTTTATACTACACATTAAATTATTATCTGACAATTGTTTAATCCAGTGTTTATATTTGGTCTCGTTCATTAATTAGTGTTGATACCGTTCAACACCAATGTTTGAATCATATGTTGCTGTCGATTCTCATCCAGGACATGGCAAACTAAAAGAAAGAAAGATGTCTCTTCTGTAGCCCGACTGGCATAAAAGTTGAATGAAACGCGACATGACTGTGCAGACTGAGGTTGTGTTGAAAAACATTGAACATTAGTCCCTCGCTAATTCGTGGTACGACTTTTGTGGACTCAGTCTTTTGAGGTTTTTCAACATAAGATTGTACACGACACATGATTGTCCACTTCAGTATTACTCACGTGACTGGGATGATACGGGATAAAAAGTTAACAGAAAAAACAACTTTGGACAGGCACCGCCATTTTGTAGTTTTCTTTCAATAAGCCTATAATGTAACACTAGTCGAAATAACTACACTACCCAGAAGCCAACTGTGCTTCCGGCCGCTGTTTTCTGCTGAAATGGAGGGAAAGTTTTGCTACACAAAGTCAGAAGTAAGGATCAATCTATGAAGCTCACAGAACAGGTAGGCAAGTCACAAACAATCCTGAAGCTCAACCATCCACGCACACATCAACCTGGACGGGGCGGTGGGGTTCGTCACTGTAGGGTAGGTCTGCAGAACCGGAACAGTGTTGCTGGTCTGTAGAGCTGGTGAGTAAAATTTTGTAGTACTGTAAAGTACATATATGTATGTTGTTAAAATTACGTAGTTTAAAGAGTTTAGAACATTGCAAAAAATGTGGGAAGGGTTTATAAAGCCTTAAAATATACAGCATATAAATACTAAAATAAATATAATGTTCCTACTTCACTGTTTTTCACCTATTGTGGTGGTGTGGAACTGATATTCGAGGGATTACTGTATATGTATCCAATTTAGTACCACATATAGGCAAAAGAGAAAATAATAATGCCTAGATTTGGGCTGCATTTGCCTGCAGAATAAACATAGTGTAAGTTGAGAAGGGTTTGAGATGCCCACAGGGACTCCGAGTCAATAAGGACCCGCAGCTCATGCACGGAAATTCAGAATCCTGTGAACCCTTCAAAACATTGTGGAAACCTCATTTTTAATGCTGTTCAGAATTTGTTTAAATCCAGTGAAATTGTATTTTTAGTTATGGGCACTGGTGGCAGAGGTTAGAGAGGTGGGCCTGCGATCGGAAGATCGCCGGTTCACGCCCCGGTACCGACAACATCAAAAAGGTGGGTGGGGTAGGTGAAGCAACCACATTTGCTCCTACCCTCAATCACCCCACTTTGGGCCCATGAGCAAGGCCCTTACCCACCCCCCCCCACCCCCACCCCCATTCTGCTCCCTAAACAGGTCTCTCTTGAAAATGAGTTTTCGTGGCTCAATGAAACTACCTGTATAACTAAAGGGTAAATGAAAAAAAAAAAATAGTTGTCATTATTGTACTTCTGAAGGGTTTGAAAGCTTCTGGTTTGGTCTATTCTAATGTCACAAATGAAAAACATTACAAGAGCATAAAATAATCAACAATATCCTTTTTTCCTCTGCACTAAATCCCCATTTATTTGCTGTACTTGCCGCCGTACACGTCACACCACTGTATAAGTTGCATCAGTCCAAATATTCTAGTCCAATTGTTCTAGAATTGCGCCGCTCAAGGTGGCTGCATGTTGGAGCAGCTCTGTTACTTTCATTCTGAGATTTTGCTTTAGGAAACTAATTCCTCTTTTTCTGGATGTAAATCACATTTTTTTGGATGATTGTTTCCTCTGGTATCAGATGCTGTGCAGCTGGAAGGATTTTTACTGAAACTTTTTTAGTTTTTGACATTTGTTATGATGCGTAACCATGGCAACAAGGCAGTTTTCTACAACAACAGCAGCTGATTAACATCTCAAAAGCTCAAATTATATCTCAACTACAGCCACAAATCTCAAATGAGTTGAAAAGGATGTTCTGTGGACACATTCTCATCTACCTGCCAGCTGTGCTCGAGTGCCTGACCACTGAGACCCTGGAACTAGCAGGAAACACAGTTCATGACAGCAGAAGGACAGCATCGTCCCTCAGCACCTACAGTTGGCTGTCCGCAGCAACGAGGAGCTCGACAGACTGCTGGGAGGAGTGGCCATCACTCTGGGAGGAGTTCTGCCCGGCATTCTGGCGGTCCTACAGCCCGGGGGAACCGAGAGGCCAGCCGAGTCTGGGTGGACGGATCGTAAAGCATCTGCAGCCAGTTTCTTAGGATCCACTGGACCTTTACAAGAGATCCTTCTTGTCTACAGCCATCAGTATCTATAACATATCTTAATGAAACGAGGATAACGAGTTACAACAACAAATAATTTCCCTTTGGGATTAATAAAGTATTTTTGAATTGAATTGAATTGAATATGTCTAATAAAGTGGAAAAAAAAAACAAGTCGCTTCCCCATATAAGTTGCATCTATTATGCGACACTGCTGACGGGTCGCATTTGTTATGCGTCACCGCTGACCACCCGGAAATGTTGTCCAGTGTTGTGCCAAAAATTGATGGGCTGCCAAATGGCGGCCGTGGGAGCGTGCACGGAAGGACTTTAACAAGAATTTAACAAGATTAACACTTAAAAACAATTATTTGTTTGCTCGACATTAAAGGTGCATCTCAATTTAACTTTTCCTTAATAAATGTACTTTGACGGTCAAATCAGCTGCATTTCGCCTGGGCGGTGTAGCAAAGTACAGCTGATTTGACGTTTGCTCCACGAGTTCTGGAGCGAGACGAAGGTGGCCTCTATGGCAAGCCAAGTATCTCATTAATAGCCACTTTTACCTATTAATGAGACACTTGGCTTGCCATATTGCTCGAACGCCCTCTTGTGACTGAATATGGTAGTGTTCAATATTTTCAATGTCAGAATGAATGAAATCATTAGATCTCAGCCAAAAATTGGGTTATAAATATGGGGGGAAAAAACTTATATTAGTCGCGTCACCGTATAAGTCGCAAGGCATAGAAATGCATGCAAAAAGGTGTGACTTGTATGGAAAAAAAATATGGTAGTTTATTTTTCTTTGGTGTTGGATGGTGAAGGTGATAATCCAATATATTAATGCGATATTACAATACTACTGATAATAATACAATATTAATGTTTAAATCTAAAATTATATAAAAACGTTTGTTTTTTGTAGAACTTCTACTGTAAGACTGTTAACTCATAATATCAATACACGAGCACAGATTCAGAAACATATCATTTATAACTTCATTTTGATAAATGTGTTTGTAAAATGTTATTTGTTCCCCGTCTCTGAATGCACATTATACCGTAACATTAATGAACATTTTACCTCCAAGTCTAGCTCAAATGTATTGACATAATAAAAATAAAAATAAAAAAAACAATAAAACATTGTCTTTCTTGCACTGTAAGAATTTAGTTTTGTGGTCATGATAACTCTCACTCACTGGCAAAGGTCGAGCTCCATTGCTGACATTATCAGCAAGTCTAAGTCCTCATCCTGTCAGCTCGATCCATTTCCCACAGTTCTTGTTAAATCCTGTCTCCCGTCTCTGCTCCCCATCATCACTAACATCATCCACTCCTCCCTAACCTCTGGCATTGTTCCCACAGCTTTCAAATCTGCGGCCATCACACCCATCATCAAGAAACCAGGTCTTGACTTTACCAACTTCATTAATCTTCGTCCGATCTCTAACCTGCCCTTTATTTCCAAAGTTCGTGAAAAAGCCGTTGCTAGTCAACTTCACTCTCACCTATCCAACAATAACATTTATGAAGAGTTTCAATCTGGTTTTCACCCTCACCATAGCACCAAAACAGCTCTAATAAAAATAACTAATGACCTTCTTCTTGCTGCTGACTCTGCTCTTCTGTCCATCCTCATTTTACTCGATCTAAGTTCTGCCTTCGACACAATCTGTCATTCTATCCTCCTCAACAGACTAACCTCCATTGGCATCTCGGGTACTCCGTTAGACTGGTTCAAATCATATCTCTCTGACCCCACTCAATTCATTCACCTTAAATCCTATGTTCCCAGTCTTCCCCCGTCTCCACGGGTGTCCCCCAAGGCTCTGTCCTCGGACCCCTCCTTTTCATCATTTACCTCCTTCCTCTAGGTCCCATCTTCCGTAAATTTGGTGTCCATTTTCACTGTTATGCTGATGACAC